TCTGATAATCGAGAGGTTCTACACACAAATAGACTAAAAAAATGATTGAACTTGAAAGCTTGTGATAGAAAATCGTGAGGGAACATTCATTGATCCGCAGGTGGCAAGTTTGTGTGCAGAATCTGAGAATGAAGAACGCGATCAGCTACATGTTCGTCAAGAAATACATCTCGGATCACGTGATTCACGAGGTAAAATTTTCTGAACTCCGAATCCTTCGTGGGAGATGCGAACCAGCACGGTGATTTCACAGCGAGATTTCTATTTTTCCAAGGCAACGAAGATGGTGAGAAAGATAAAGGACGAGTTGAAAATTCGCATCGTACAGGCTCATTGGCTTTCGAACAATATGAGAATGAAACTGATGCAGAAGCTGGAGAATCTTGAGACGCAAATTGGCTACCCAGAATGGTACAGAGATAACGAGGCTGTCAATCGATATTACGAAAGGGTATTTGTTCTAAACAACATTTAACAAATTTCTGAACGGTTATTATAAAATATTATTCATGACATCAGAGATTGTTCGCAGTTTCGGATAGGTCCGGACTACTTCGAAAATATTCTAAACTGCGAGAGTAACGACTTAATTAAAAATCTGGAGGAGTTCAGACAGGTCGTCGTTAGAGATCAGTGAGTTTCTTGGTTCATGGAATTATGATGAGAATTGGGAAATTCGAAGCTCGTAGCTCACTTTCGACTATATCGTTTTTTACAGATGGTTGGATTTCCCTACGACAGTTAATGCATTCTACGCTCAGACGGTCAACGCGATACGTGAGTACTGTGACAATGAAATATCTGTTTTCTAGATTCGAGGAGAAACGAACATTTTCTTAAACAATCCGTCCATGTTTCAGTCATACCAGCGGCTGAACTGCAGGATCCTTATTTCTCGTCACATCTGCCAGAGTAAGTCCCATCATTTCGTCTAAAGTTTAAATTTATCATTCAAATGATGTTAGTTGAATTAACAAAATCTGCCATCAGCGCAATTAATTATGGAACCACTGGATTTGTAATTGGACACGAATTGTCCCACAGTTTCGATAACGAAGGTAAATTATTTAAATTTTATAATCGGTTACATTGTTATACTCATCGACATCTATCACGTTCGTTCTATTTAGGAATACAAATAGACAAAGAGGGCTACAAAATCTCATGGACATCGGTGGACACGTCGCAATACGAGGAACGATCCATGTGCTTTGTCGATCAGTACGCTAATTATACTCTCGATATCACGAACGAGGATGGAGACCACGTTAAGGTGAATTCTTCTATTAACGTATAATAATTTCTAAGAATTTTCAATCATTGATGATTGATTGACGATTGAGACGCAAACAGCCTGAAAAATACAATTACTTCAATTACTTTAGTGTCATTTAGTCTCATTAAAACGTTGCATAATACTAATAAGATGTAATTGGATTTAGCTGGATGGATATCTAACCGAGGATGAAAATATAGCAGACTCAATCGGCATACAAATTGCGCATTCCGCGTATAAAAAAGTAGCGAAACAGAAGATTCAAAGTAAACTACCAGGTCTGGAACATATGTCCAACGACGAACTCTTTTTCTTATCTTTCGCAAACGTAAGTATTTCGAGTGTGAAATATTTATCGAAATATTTACTATATTCTCAATATAACAACACCAACTTTTATAACAATATAAACAACACTAATCCTTATTTTTTAATAATTCCTAACGTGGGAAATTTTATTTCGATAAAATTCACTCGAATATTTAACCATTCAATAATTTATTTTGTCAAGTAATTTAGAGAAAATTTAATAATTTGAAGAAAAATTTGTGAAGATATACGTATTTTTGGCGACTCCAAGTGTATGGAAAATTTTTTTAGTACATATTTACTGTAGCAATCTCGTGGAATTATCGTATAGAATACCAAATACGTGGAAAAATTTTATTTTTTCGTAGCTTTCATTATTTCGAGCCAAGTTAACAGCCAAGTCCCGAACTAAAATCAATTGGAGATCGTTATTCTTTTATCTTTTACTCTGTTATCGAGTGTTAATTCGATCTCTCAACAAACATCGCACAAATGTTTCACGGTTAATTAACACGATTCCATTTTATAGTCCTGGTGTTCCTCGACCAGACCGGAATACGAGGCGGATGTGGTCAACACCGACGAGCACAGTCCTCCGAAATATCGCATCATTGGTTCCCTCTCCAATTTGGCCGCGTTCTCGAAAACCTTCAAGTGTCCACGGAACAGTTCCATGAATCGACGACACAAGTGTACATTGTGGAATTAATTGTTGTACCTGCGGACTTCGAACGAAGCACGGACAAAAATAGAATAATTTACTAGTTTACCAATTTTCAACGCAACGTTTTCTACGATCTATTAACAAGAAAGTGTGTGGCTTGTTCTGATTTAACTTGAAAGGAAGATTTTCAGAATCTTGTGAAATGAAATGAAAAACATTATTTTCAGATGTTCGTTCAGATGTTTTTCTTCCCAATTAATTCTCCATCAATTTTATTTTAATTTAAATTCTATTTTATTAAAAAAAAAAAAAAAAAAA